TTTGTATAGATTGAGAACAGTTAGAACCCTTGTCAGGATTCAATGCTGTCTGTGTCCCCGCTTGGGACAGCCACCCTCAGATTACCCTGGTGACCACTGACTATTATGAATGAAAATGATGGTAAATCTACAATTTTATAGTTGTTACCATAACAGAAGGTAAGGAAAAATCTGTAAATGGAGACATCTGTGTAAGGTGGTATATTCCTTTTCTTTCTCTTATGTATTCTCTGGGTCAGGAAGTGAAAAGTAAATATCCCCAGTAAGACATTGGCAGAGAAAAAGGTTTCAGGATTTGGTATCTATGGTGTTTCTTTTATCATACAGTGGTAAAATGACCACTGCTCAGTTCTCCGCATTCTCAGAAGACAGTTCTCCTCTGAATGCCTTTTTATGAAGCGGTGTAGATCACTTCTCCGGATGAAGGGAGAAAGCGATCTACAAACGCTTTCAACGCTGGAAAACGTCTGCTTTTACTATAATCTCATGAGATTACAGTAAGAGATCAGTCAAACACTAATTTACTAAGCAGCAAGTAAATTATCTGGCTGGAGAATCTGGAGGGAGAACATAGATCACTAGTGAAGGGCTGACATCGCTCCTTCATTTATTGGTAGTCTGTGTGCTGAGATGATCAGCACAGAACATGTTCTCCACTGATCATCTCTGTTTCCTAAACCACTAATGATCGGAGATCAGCAACGATTCCTCAGGATCTGTTTCATAAAAGGACACCTATATATGATCCAGTGTACTCACAGTCTTTTAATGTAAAAAGTTGCTTTAAATATAAGATTTGCAAGTGCCTCTTCCATTGGACCATTTTAATATACTTGCCATGAGTGCACCCAGGAAGTCTTTCAGGAAGTCTGCAGGCCCACCATCAGTTTTAAAAAAAAAAAAATATATATATTATAAATATATATATATAATATATATATATATATGTCAGGAGAAGTGCAAAATCTGCCTGTCTGGCATGATGTCTAAAGGAATTACAGACATGACTGGAAGAATTGGATGCCACCTCAACCAGCCCTATGAAAATGATGGTGTTTGCCTCAGTCACCATTCCAGCCATGCCCTCTAACGCGTTTCACCCCACCAACCAGAGCTTGGCCACAGAGGTGGGGATGCACAGAACTGCTGGTTAAATGTGCATTATTGGATCGTGATTGAAGATTGCTAACTGGTGGGTTCGTGCAGTATGGTAAAGGAAAAAATGTGTCTTTTACCACACTACAACAACACACACACACACACACACACCTGTTAATCATTTTTGATCATGGCCAATAATGCACATTTAACCAGCAGCTCTGTACATCTTCCCCACCTCTGTGGCCAAGCCCTGGTGGGCGGGCAAACCGCATCAGGGGACATAGCTGGAGCGGCGGTTGAGGAGGTGTCCATTTCCTCCGATCAATCATTGCTTCTGAATCAGTGAAGGGACGCCCACTCCCGTCTTCTGTGTATCGGCAGGGTTACTTCACATTGCCTGGCTTTGAGCAGTGCTGCAAGGTTGACAACCCACGTGACTGAGATTTGCAAAAAAATATATAATTTGTGTTTTTCAGTTAAAGATGCATTCATTTCTGCAGCAAATCTTTTGTGCATGAACCTTAAGGCATTACAAAATTCTAGACCAGCCTTTCTCAACCAGGGTTCCTTCAGGGCTGTTAGGGATTCCTTGAGCAGTGAGCAATTTCTGCCTCTCAGATGAGTAATCACTATGAACAATGATTTTTTTTTAGCTATCTGTAAGTGGGGGAGTCTTCTATATACACTACTTGTCAAACATTGTAGAACACACCATTTTATCCAGTTTTTATTGAAATTTAAACAGTTCAAGTCAAATCAATAACGTGAAATAGTACAAAGGAAAGTGGTAAATGCCAAAAACTGAAAAAAAATTATAGAACATTTCAGAGTTATAAAAAGGGCATTTTTGATGGAAGAAGTAATGACTTAACAACTCACAGTTGTTCTGCAGAAATGTAAGTAAATTAAGCCTTGAAAGTTTATGCTAACAATTTCTACAGGTGTCTTAACTTTGTTGATTACTTACAAGCTCTTTGTCTGTATAAAGGCAGTGTTGAAACAGACTGTGTTACTGCACCCTCTTAAGCAATGTTTGGATAGTACTGTACTGCAAGAAGTGGTATATTGCTCTCAAAATGATGAGAAAAAAGGCAATTACCAAAGAACGACAGACCATTAAAACCCTTAAAAGTGTAGGTCTCTTTCTTTAGAGAAATTGCAGAGAATGCTAAAGTGTCAGTTAGTACAGTTTCCTGCACCATCAAAAGAAACTGGAGGAAACTCTGATAGGAGGAGGTCTGGCAAACCCAAAGCCACAACAGAATCAGAAGACATGTTTCTAAGAGTCAACAGCTTGTGTGACAGGCGGCTCACAGGACAACAGCTTCAAGCACAGCTTAACATTGATCAAAGTAAGCAAATCTCAGTTTCAACTGTGAGGAGAAGATTGCGAGCTGTATGTTTGATAAGTCGAGTGGCTGTAGGAAAGCCATTGCTAACATGGCAAAATAAGTACAAGATGCTTTCCTGGGCCATGGTCTACTGAAGACTGGAAGAAGGTCTTATAGATGGATAAATTAAAATGTGAGATCTTCGGTTCATCGTGTAGGGTTTTTGTACACTGTAGAGTAGGTGAATGGCTGGTTCCTTGATGTGTGACAACAAATGTCAAACATGGAAGAGGAAGCATGATGTCTGTGGCTCTTTTGCTGGATCCAGAGTTGGCAACTTGCACAGAGTGAGTGGCACCCTGAACCAAAACTATTATCACAGCATTTTGCAGCACAATGCAATACCCCCTGGAATAAGTCTGGTTGGTCAGGGGTCCATCCTACAGCAAAATATTGACCCAAAACAAACCTCCAGGCTGTGTGAGAACTACCTTAGAAGAAAAGAACAAGATAGTAGGCTCCAAATCATGGAATCTCCAGCACAGTCTCCAGACTTAAACCCCATCAAGCTGGTTTGGGTTTAATTGGACAGAAGGGTGAAAGCAAAGCAACCCACAAGTGCAACACACTTGTGGAAACTTCTGCAACAGTGTTGGGAAGAACTTTCCCAGCAATATTTGATTTTCGCTGTAGAAAGAATGCCACAAGTGTGTTTTGATGAGTCCAAAATTTCGATTACATTTTGTTAAAGAAAACAATTCCATGATTTCTTTTTTTTATGTCCAATTGTTTTTTTGTTTTATGCTTTATTTACAATGAGACACTGAACTGCGTAAATGTTAATAAAAACTGAAAAATTGGGTCTGTTCTAAAACATTCGACCAGTAGTATAGTAATTATTAGTAGAGGTTCTCCGAGTCTGGAGAGCTTTTTCAAGGGTTCCTCCGTGTTAAAAAAGTTGAGAAAGGCTGTTCTACACCATTGTTTTTTTTTACAGAATAGGGAAGGTTTAGTGCACTTTAGATTTCTTTTACAGTCAGGGTACATTGATTACTGAACTGACTCTTTCTAAGTCTAAGTTTAGTGTAGAAAACCAAATGGGATCTTCAGATGCCTTAAGTGAGTCTGAACTTTTGTCTGTTGCAAAGAAAGATGCAGCTGTCTTAAAGTGGTTAAAAAGAATCAAAGTTTTTTGTTACTCTCATGCATTCTATGCGTAAAGCTACTGTATAAAATCTTCAGTGTGCAGCTCCCCCTGCAGCACCACTAATACTTACCTGGGCTCAATCTTCATCCACTGCTGTGCACAGGAGCCTTAGCTCTTCCAGGTTGGTCTCCCTCTCCTCATTGGCATGTCCCATAGATACAGAGCTGACTCGGGAGCAAGCACACACGAGTGCCCCCAGAGCAAGCAGCTGCGGGAGACTTGAAAAGAGGAGGATCAGGGCTGCTTCATGAAAAATCATTGCACAGAGCAGGTAAGTATAACATGTTTCTTATTTTAAAGAAAAAAGAATAACCTTTATAACTAATTTAAGGTAGGTTACATGTTAACATATTCATGGCTATAGCAATTATCCACTTCGGGTGCTTTCTGTGATTAGTGTAGGAATAGGCTTTACATAGATGCCTTCACTTGACAGCATGGCTTCACATATCAACTACCGCGTCCTCTGTCTTTAATCTAAATGTTGGATTATTGAAAGTCTTTCTTTGTTTGTAGCAGGGCTGAGAATAAGGAGGTTTTACATTGTTCATTTCCCACAGTGGAGATTTCCCCATAATTTCCTGTTGTATCATCAACGTAGGCAGTGAGGGAAATTATCCTTGCTGAGTACACAGAGAAATAAAAACTATCCCCCCATCTATAGCTGGGATCTCACTTGATGTAAGCAGTGTGGATAATGCAGTGTGGATAATGGTTGAAGATACTAAAGGAAACTATTTTTTATTGACCAGATTGGTTGCTATCTATGACTTTATATAATCTTTGTTTACAACAGTGTTAAGGCCAGCTACTACATTAGAGCTATCTTGTAATCCTCAACAAATTAATGAAGTGTAAGCATAAGGTCATAAGCATCATACATTAAATAGGATGAGTCTGTATATAAGAGCTCATTTGTATATAATGGACTAATTTCTACGTAATTTTTCATTGAATTTATATAAATGCAGTGAAGAAGACAAAAATAATCTGCAAAATGCATTAACCAATATTAGTCAATCAGATTACACAATTCCATCTTTTGTGTAATAAAGTCTTAACATAGATACTTTAGTAGCTATACAATATTTGCCTGGAGATCACTGTTTTGTTATGCCATTATTTTCAAATGTGCAATTTTACAATTCCATTAATAAGTCATAAGTAAATGGTACAATTTTATTGTTTTCTTTTAGGTAGGGAAATTTTTGATGATCAATAAATTCATGTATAATAGCAAATTCCAGAGACTAATTGCTCCTCTGCTTTGATGATCTTTGGTTCTTCATGTTTCAGTTGCTTTCAGATAGTTGTATTATGTTCCGGATTGGTGCTAGTGGTATCTGTTGTGTTTCATTTTATTATTGGGCAGTGACATTATGAATCCATCCAACAAGTCTAGTTATTCTAGTATATATTCCAAAACGTCTTGGTCTTGAGCAACCAAACCCCCAGCTCACCACTCCTGCTATAAACCATCGTCCTTTAGGTTCTTGGCAAACAAGTGGACCTCCAGAGTCACCCTGAAAGACAATCATATGGTTAGAAACATCTCATAATGATTTTTTGGCATAAATTAGACCTTGGATAGAAAAACTGTGTGGAGATCAAGAATCAGAAGCAGAAAGACAGCAGAGTCTAGGCAGCTTGAGAACAAGGAACCAATAATCGGAGATCTGGGAGACAGGAGTTGGCAATGAAATATGGGTAATGCATTGAGAAAAACAGCAGAAGCATTTGAGCATAGGATTATACAAAAGAACAGCCTAGTGATTGTAAACTGAATTCTATAAAGGCAGATCAGAGGGTGGACTCTAGTCCCCTTTAAAGATGTATGGACCAATCAGTGGGTGTATATTCCTCACTTGAATAGCTCACCTGAGGGAATAAATAAAACAAGTCTGCTCACATCATGGCACATGAGAGGCCTGGACTGCAGAAACATGCAATGAAAATTGCAAGAATGAGAACAGGAAGAGCAGTGAATAATCAGCAGGAACCAGGAAGGATACAGCAGAAAGCAGAAGAGAAACATAAAGAACAGCAACAAAACATCAGGTAGTCAGCAGAAAAGAAACTAAAGATACCAAAAAAGGACACCGTGATAACAATCACCATCAGTCATGAGCCTAAATGCAACACAGACAGTTTGCAATCACTTTGCATGCCAACACCCAAAACCGGTAGGTGAGAGGACGTTAGAAAAACAGATGTGAGGTTCGAACCTGTCAGGCTTTTGTTGCTCTCTTTGCCCTGTTGGAGAAATGTTCTATCTCTTCCTGTCAGGGAGACCCATGTCGCCAGGACAGAAAATGAAGAGAAATCACCCTACCAGGGACAAAAACAGCTAGAAAAAAGCCAAAAGGATAGTTGTCTATAGAGGTCAATCAAAAGAAAAAATAAATGAAAACCTGCATCCAGAGAACACTATGCCCACAGTTGATCTAAAGGAAAGCAAAAAAACCTACCGTATTTTCCGGCGTATAAGACGACTGGGCGTATAAGACGACCCCCTACTTTTCCTGTTAAAATATAGGGTTTGGGCTATACTCGCCGTATAAGACTACCCCCCTCTTCCAACCAATCACGGCAAGCAATGTACCAGTATTTTCTGTGCACACTGTGCACACTGCATACAAAGCCTGCTTGGATTGGGTGGGTCAGCTCTCCCTGCCTGCCCAGCCCTGCCTGTCTCCAAGATACCATAAATTGCACAGAACTGCCACAGACATTATAATAATAATTAATTACCGTATCTCATAGAAGTTAAGGGGACAAGGTCGGGTGCAGCAGTACCATACCGGTACTTCCGAGCTGACGCTTCTGCACGTCTTCGGCAGCAGTAGACGATCACTGATCGCCATTCCTCGCAGAACTGCATGAGACGTCGGATGCAGCCGTTCAGTGCTCGATTGATCGTGACTGAAACTGTGACATGCGCAGAATCACTGTGTATCCCTTCTCTGCATATCACAGTTTCAGTCAAGCTCAATCGAGCACTGCTGCATCCGACGTCTCATGCAGTTCTGCGAGCTATGGTGATCCGCGATCGTCTACTGCTGCCGAAGACATGCGCAGTAGCGTCAACCCGGAAGTACGGTAAGGTTTCAGCACAGCACCCGGCGTATAAGACGACCCCCGACTTTGTAGACGATTTCCAGGGGTTAAAATGTCGTCTTATACGCCGGAAAATACGGTATATAAAGTATGGTCCAATTTCTTTTTACAGGGAAAAAAAAATCCTCCCTGATCCCCCTAAGGCAACCAGATATTCTCTCAATCAACACTCTATGATGTTAATACTTATGAATATTAACAGCCAAGAATACTTTGCATTTAGCAACACATCCAGCCTTTAAAAAAATACAAAAACTAACTTCTGTGTACAGAACTCCATTCTGTAGGTGCAAAGAGTGCTCCCTTGCCATCTGCAATGACCTTAAAGTGAAAGTAATATAAAGGTATATGCATGACTGGTGCTTTAGCAACATGGATAGTATTCTGCATATTTCATTAGAACCGGAAGTTGAGGTTTGGTATTATGGTTTCCCGTTGTAGATCTACTGGAACAGAGGCTGGGACAAGGGGGGCAGAGGGGTCATGTGCCCAGGGTGCAGTGTCGATATGTCGATAGAGGGGGAGCTAGGAGCTTCGGCAGTTGTGTTCTGCTACACCTCACTTGCAGGTGTGACTGCAGCTTCACTCTTGTCAGAAGGAGCAGGAACCTGATAGCTGCTGAGGGGAGGATTCTGCTCTCTCCTCCTCCAATAGCAGTCTACTCTGGGCTTTTTTTCTGGAATAGAGGGGATGAGGTAAAGATTAAGAAATGACCTGAAGGCCACTGAGATAAGAAGGCATTAACCTCAAAAGTAAAGTAAAACTGAGTTAAGAAAATTATTTAACCTTTATATGCCTAGGGATAGTTAGACTTAGCCTAACTAAGAATCTGAGAAGACTGGAGAATGACTACAATTTTAAAGTGAAAAGCCTCTTAAAAAAACTATTTTTAGAAATAGGTTCAAACAAGAGAAGCTTTTGCAAATTTGAACTTGCAGCTTGTGCATATAATAATACTTCACATGAACTTGCAGCTTGTGCATATAATACATACTTCACATGAATCTTTAGTCCCAACAGTATCTCCAGCACAAAACATTCTTGGAGTAATCCGATAATTGTACAGCTCACTGCAGACATCTTCATTGATTAAATTAAGGTCCACTTTCTGGAGAATGTCATTTTGTACACCTACAATTCACAAAACCTGGTTATAAAACTGTTATACTCTTGTTAAGATATATTTTAAACACATATTCTTAGAGCCACTTTAAAATCTTAATGAGTCCAGGACAAAGATAATTCTAATATCCTTGGCCAACACTAATGTTTTTAAACCAAATATTTATTTTTTAAATTTTAAGTGCACATTCAAAGATTACTTCAGATTCTTTTCTGTTATTTTTCTGAGTACATTTTAAAGATGTTCAAAAATGCTAGCACATTTTTAGATTTAGGAGTGCAGGACAGGTAATGTTACTGTAAGTATGTTTTTTATTTGAGGACTGAATTTTTTCACTATAAAAAGTTTGGCTTTAGATATACTTTAGAGATGGTTTTTACTCTTTGCAAAATGTATTAATCTGTCTTTGGACAGAGTGTGGAAGTGCTAAAATCCTAGTCAGCATTTTATTCATGTATTTGTTGCACTCCTTACATGCTCACCCACAGCTCATGTAGGGTGCTGTAATGAATTGGTGGATGGTACCAACTATGCAATCACAGGATTATAAGGATATTCACCAGCACACCTTGGGATACTAATAATCTTATCCTTCATCCTAACCTGTCTCTGTCTTTGCAATACAAAATTATGGTAAACCTATGTTGTAAGTTCTTCAATTATAACAGACGATGTACAGAGGATAAATGTTCAGGTTGAGACTTTTCAGTTGTTTAGTGACTGTAGTCTTTAGATTTGTGATCCTTAGTAACTGTCACTTTGGAGAGACTTCCTTAGTCTTCTTCTTGTGTATGCAGGACAATGGAAATCTCCCTATTGGGAAACACACAGAAAAAAAGGAAGAGGGAAACTAAAAAAATATTTTGGCTTCAGATACACTTTCAAATCAACAAGGATCATTTTGGTTCCCTTGAACACTATTTCTCAACTTTATTTAAGAATATGTTTTAGGGTCCATTAGATGCAATGTACTGAAGCATGTTGCATTTATGAGCGTTATCATATGTTGAAGTTATGATTTTAAAAGATTAATTTTCAGTTAAAATAGAAGTATGGCCTCCCATTAAAAATATGTGCTGCAGCACTTAATTGCAATTGCATCTGCACTTACATTTTTTCTTCCTCCCCTTGCAAAGTCCTACAAATACCTTTTGATCCTGCCAGTGAAGTCAACTTCATGCAGCTTCATGTGATGAGGAGACAACCCTGATGTAGTTCTTTTGAGTTCAAAGCGATGTTGTCCCTCAAGTAGGCTGTATCTGCTTGCACTGCAGCTGGATGAAAAGATTTTGGAGGAGCTGCAGCTATTGGCATTGTCATTGCTGTTTCATAAGCTTGTAGCCTGTCAATCAGCAACTGGCCACACCTAGCCCTGCACACTACTTTCTGGATTGGCAGAACTGACTGTGCTGCTAAAACCCTCCCACTGGGAGCTGCAGTGTCTGGGAAGGGAAGGGTATGAGTCTTAAATGAAGGAATAAAACAAGTGTGCTGTACTTATACCTCAAGTTAATATATACAGTGAAAAAAAAAAAAAAAAAAAAAAAAAAAATATATATATATATATATATATATACACACACACACTGTATATATTAACGAGGGTGAATCACTCCCTTGTAGATCTCAATCCAAATTCAAAAAACGATAGGGAGATTGTTTCAATGGTGGGCTCCCACAGATCCACCAATATAGACATCAAAGAAATTGAAGATACATACTCCAGTATGTAACAGTCTTGGGGGGGTGGAAGCTCTACTGATGCTCTGACCCCGTCCCATGCAGTCTATTTTCTTGGAAGCTCAGAGCTGAGCTCGGAGTGGGAACGCTGAGAGCTCTGCCCCTGGACCGGTTGGGGGGCAGTGCTCTCAGTGTTTCCACTCCGATCTCAGCTCTGAGCTTCCGAGCAAATAGACTGCATGGGGAGTGGGTGGTGAGCCCGGGTGGCAAGGTAGGACTTTTTCCCCTTAGACTGCCTGTGGACTATTATATCGTAAATCTTGACTGTACTAAGAACTGTATAGCTGTAGAGATCTATTTCTGAAAGGCTGAATTTAAAAAAATGACTACTTAGTTGATCATCTCCTGTAGTACTTCCACAGTCTTTGGTCATCTCGTGTAGCATGTCTGCTGTGTCTGTTCATCTACTGTATTGTATCTGACCATTTCCTGTAGTACATTCGCAATCTCTGATCATCTCCTGTAGTACATCCGCAATCTCTGATCATCTCCTGTAGTACATCCACAGTATCTAACCATCTCCAGTAGTACATCCACAGTCTCTGACCATCTCCTGTAGTACGCCCACAGTCTCAGGCTATCTCCTGTGATACATCCGCAGTCTCTGATTATCTCCTTCACTTCATTTACATTCTCTGATAATCACCTGTAGCACATCTGCAGTCTCTGGCTATCTCTTGTAGTACATCTGCAGTCCATGATTATCCCCTCTAGTACATCTGCAGTCACTGGCTATCTCCTGTAGTACATCCACAGTATCTAACCACCTCCGGTAGTACATCCACAGTCTCTGCCCATCTCCTGTGATACATCCGCAGTCTCTGATTATCTCCTGCAGTTCATTTGCATTCTCTGATTATCACCTGTAGCACATCCACAGTCTCTGGCTATCTCTTGTAGTACATCTGCAGTCCATGATTATCCCCTCTAGTACATCTGCAGTTTCTGATTATCTCCTGTAGTACATCCACAGTCTCTGGCTATCTCCTGTAGCACATCTGCAGTCTCTGGCTTTCTCCTGTAGTACATTCGCAGTCTATGGTTATCTCCTGTAGTACATCCACAGTCTCTGATCAGATGGGACTGAAGGAGGAGAACATGGGATGGAGAAGATGGAACTGGAGAAGGAAGAGAACATGGGATGGCGGAGATTGGACTGGAGAAAGAGGAAGACATGGGATGGAGGAAATGTTTACATTGCTTCATGGTAATATTGTTAAAGTTGTTAATATTTATATTTGTAACTTTATTCTGCAGAAAACATTTAACAGTGTAGTTAAGGTTGCAAAATTAGGGGTGGGCAGGCTACATAAGAATATATATATATATATATATATATATATATATATACACACACACACACACACACACACACATATACACACATATATACAATGTTACCAAAAAGTATTGGGACACCCCTCCAAATAATTGGATTCAGGTGTTTCAATCACTTCCATGGCCACGAGTGTATAAAATCAAGCACCTAGGCATGCAGACTGCTTCTACAAACATTTGTGAAAGAATGGTTTGCTCTCAGGAGCTCAGTGAATTAAAGTGTGGTACAGTGATAGGTTGTCACAAATGTAATAAGTCCATCAGTGAAATTTCCTTGCTACTAAATATTCCACAGTCGAATGTTAGTGGTATTATATCAAAGTGGAAGCAACTGGGAACAACAGCAACTCAGCCACGAATTCACGTAGTAGGTCATGTAAAATGACAGAGCGGGGTCAGCGCATGCTGAAGCGCACAGTGCGCAGAAGTCGCTAACCGTCTGCAGAATCAATAGCTAATGACCTCCAAACTTCCTGTTGCCTTAAGATTAGCACAACAGTGTGTAGAGAGCTTTATGGAATGGGTTTCACCAAGTGCAATGCAAAGCATTGGATGTAGTGATGTAAAGCAGGCCACCACTGGACTCACGCTTCTCTTTCTGGCAATCCATTGGATGTGTCTGGGTTTGACGGTTGCCAGGAGAAAGATACTTGCCTGACTGCATTGTGCCAAGTGCAAAGTACGGTGGAGCCTACCGTGGGATGTACCAAGCAATTCCAAAAGGAATGAAGGGAGGGGATATTAAAAAAAAACAAGACACCAAAAAACTGAATGCTGCATATAATCCTCTATTACTGACAGTAACTGCAATGGCTGTAGATCCAAAAAAGACTGCAACAATGGAAAAGCCATACTCATTCTGTGGTAGCACATAAATGCATTTGCCATGCTCCAGCTTGCTGCCCTGCTGGTATTTTAGCGTATGCTGCCCATGAAACTGAAATGCTTCTTGTTGAATTAGCTCTCACTTCCAAAGGTGGTACCAAGCCTAGGGCTTTGTAGACAATCTGAATGGTCTTGACAATCCATGACTACATGATCTTGGGTAGTACCATGAAGCTCTTCCTTGGACCTTGATGAAAGGTATAAAAACTATAGTGTTCATGGATGTCCTCCACACATTTCAGATATACTAAGAATGAATGAACCAGATCTAAAAATTCTTCCACTCATTCTCTGACCCATCTTCCAGAAAAGGTGAAAGTATGGACTCCCAACTTATATGGGATGAAGTTGAAATTTTTTGGAAGAAATTTGGGACCTGTCTCAGAATTACCCTGTCTTGGAGGATTCAGCAGTATGGCTCTCTAGCTAAAAAGGCCTACATGTCAGATACTCTCCTTGTGGTAGCAATTGCCATCATGAAATATGCCCTCAGAGCCACATGCAATAAGAAACATGATGTTATCTGGTAAAATGGTGGTGCCAGCGAGGCATTCAAACCAAATGACAAATTTCCACTAGTGATCTAATCTTCACTGCTGCCTTCAGAAAATGAATGACCAAAGGGTTAAAGGCCCATCTTTTACTTGCCATGTCCGAGAGGACTGAAACTTGAATCTGAAATTAATTAAAAGCCAGGCCGCTTTTAAACTGTTTTGCAGGAATTTAAGAACATTAGATACCGAGGGAATTGAAGCATTCCAATTTTTGCTAGAAAGAGCCCCAAAAGAAAGGCTCTCAATACCTGATGGAAGGTCGAAATAGTTGATTTTTTTCCTAGCTTGCAACAAGGTATAAACTACGCCCTTTGACAGCTCCAGATGTCTTAGAGACCACCTCTCAACTTCCAAACCATTAATTTCCGACTCAGATGGAACACCCTGTTCTGAACAAGGAGATCCAAACAAACTGGGAGTGGAATTGGTTGTTCTAGCCTTTCTTCTATATACATGGGGAAACCAAGACCGGCTCAGCCAAAAGAGCAGGGC